GGGGGGGGGGCAGGAGGTTTTGGGGCCGTTTGTGGGGTTTGGGAGGCTGGCATCACAGCAGAGCACGGCAGGGTTTGCTGCAGTGCTGCAACGGGGGGATGAGTGTGGGGTTAGAGCACGTGTGGGGTTAGAGCATGTGTGCACATGTGTGGGGCAGGGGGAGCGGGGCCACATACATGTGACAGCCTGGGACACGCGTGCAGGGCCAGGACACGCATGTGACACACGTGTGGCAGCCTGGGTCACGCACGCAGCCACTACACCAACACCAAACAGCGCTTCCATCCCCTCCCATTTTCCCCTTTTCCCCTTTTCCACCCCAGTTTCCCTTTTCTTTCCCCTTCTTCCCCCCAAATTTCACTCCATTTCTCCAACCCGAGACCCAAAGTGCAAAAATAACCACTTTTTAATATTTCATAATGGGTTTTTTCCCCTTTTTTTGTGATTTTTTTTTCTTTTTACACATCATCTCAGACGCAGACCCCCCTGTGTGACACAGAGAGATGGGCGACTTTTGGGGCTGAAAGCGGGAAAAAGAGCAAAATTGCTCGAGGGCAGCATCAGATTGGTGACACTGAGCAGAAACCCAAGAGATTTGGGGTCGGAAGTTTTTTTTCCCCTCCTCGTGGAATCATAAAAATAGAGAAAACCACCCCCAAAAATATCAGTACTGAGAAGCAGCTCAGCGTGACACCAACCAAAGAGATTTTGGGTTAAAAAGCGCAGGAATCAGCGCCGCAAGCTGCGAGGAAAGCAAGGGGAGCAGACCCCAATCTCAGCCCCCCCCCAGGCTGATTTTTGGGGTGAAATCAACGCGTTTCGGCACCGTCGGAAAGCGGGGACGTACTCTGCAGCGGGAGGATGACCAGGGAGGGCGGCCATGGAGCGCTGTGCTCTTCCTCCTCCTCCTCTTCCTCCTCCCGGGGGGCGGCAGGGGGGGGCGGGCAGCAGCGGGGGCAGCCGGAGGGCTGGGGGTCCCGGGGGTCTCTCCCATAGGGGCGCATGGCACCGCTGTGCTGCGCAGGGCGCTCGCGGAGCCAGGCCCAGTGCGAGGGGTCGGAGGCCATGATCTGAAAATTGGGGGAAAAATGAAGGGATTTGGGTAAAAATGGGGGTGGGGGAGGAAATGGTCAGGGGATAAATAGGGGAGAGATGAAGGGTTAAGGGGGGGGGGGGGGGGGCGAAGGGGGGGGGGGGGGCTCAATGGGGCAGGAGTGATGTGGGGTCACCGCAGTGATGCTCGTTTCGCATCAAGGGTGAGAGTTTGGAGAATGAGACCCAAAACGTCACTTTTTAGACTTAACACTGAGCTCAAATCTCCCCCCAAAATCAGTTAGAAAAGGAAAAGCATGCTCCAAAAAAATGAGGATTTGGGGTTTGGATGGGAAACGCTTCACCTGGAAGCAGAGGAGGGCTGAGCGGTGACGGCACGGAGCTCGAGCTCCATCTCCTCTCCATTCCCACCCACCCAGGGGGGATCTTGGGGTGAAATGAGGGGATCTTGGGGTGAAATGAGGGGATCTGGGGGCTGACCTCGTCGCAGCAGTGCCTGCTGACTGCAGCCCTGTACCTCATGCGGGCCCAGAGGCGGTCGCGGCGGCGGAGGAAGCGAGGGAAGAGGCGGCGCCAGCCCCGGCCCAGAGCCCAGGGGAAGATCTCGTATTTGTGCTCCTCCTCGTCCTCCTCCATGTCGTTGGCCAGGTATCTGGGGGGGACCCCTAAGATTCGACTCTGGAGTGGGGAAGGGAACCCCAAGACCCTTCCCCAAGTCTGGGGGAAAGAGGGAAATCCCAAAATGACCCCAAATAGGGAGGAGGGGAGGAGCTCCAACTCCTAATTTGGGTGGTGGGACCCCCAAGCTCCCCAATTTGGGGGGGACACCCCCAAGCCTCCATCACAGATCCGGGGGAGAGACACCCCCCCAAACCTCACCTCAAAACGAGGGGTGGACGCCCGCGAGCCCCAACCCCAAATTGTGGGGGGGACCACACACTCCCTCACCCCTTAGAAAGCAAGCACAGAACCCCACGATGCCTTCCGGTTGGGGTTGCCCCCCCCCTCCCCCCCCATTCCCCCTACCAGTTTTTGAGCCTCATTAGAATTCTATTAATTAACAAGCACCTCGTTAGGAGCCCGTTAATTAACAAGGGCTGTACGTACAGCGCAGTGAAGAGGTTGATGCGGGTGTATTCACTGGTGGGCAGCGCGGCGCGCTTGAAGTATGTCAGCGCCATGGCCAATAAGTACTGAAAAAAGAGAAAAATCCAGAAAATAAAGGGCAGATTTGGGCCAAAACAAGGGGGAAATGGTTAAAAAGGGGCCTGGGTGCTCCTACCTTATCAGAAATCCTATAGCAGACGTCTGTGGAGAGGAACTCCTGCACCACGCTGTCCTCTGCAGGGGAAACAACAGCAGAGTTAGGGGGTGATTTTTCAGCTTTTTTTTTTTTAAGTAAATGGTCAAAAATGGTGAATTTTTACCATTTTGGGGGTGGGAATTGGTGTAAATAGCAAAAAAGTGGTGAATTTTGGTGGTTTTTGGGTGGTTTTGGTGCTTACCCAGCAGGGCAAAGAAGGCCTCACGCTCGTGGCGGTGCAAATGGAGGCTCCTGGGGGGGTCCCGGGGGGGTCTTTGGGTGCCTGGTTGGGGTGGGGTGGAGGGGGGGTCCTTTGTGGTGCCCTGGGCAGAAGGAGGGGGTGGGGAGTAAACAAATCCTTGAAGCCCCCCCTTAATTGAGCGAAATACCCCCAGATCCTGATGAAGAAAACCTGACCCCCCCCCCCCCCAAAAACAGGAAACTTCCAAACCCAGACCCCCACCCCCCTTTTGACCTCCAAATTGAGGCCCCCCACTTTAACACCCCAAATTCCAAACCACACCATCACTAAACCCCCCCCAGACCCAAACCAGACCCCCCAGCACCAAACAGCCCCCCCAAGCCCTGATCCCCCCCAAACAAACACCCAGAACCCCCGAGTTCACTCCCTCCATTACCCCCCCTAATTTTGTCCTCCCCCCAAATTTCACCCCCTCCCC